CTTCTGCTGGCTTCCCATGGCTGTTGTGGCATGGAGGGTTTTTGTACTGTACCAAAGGCCTTCTGTCCGTTCTGATGTTATGGGAAGTTGTGGAATGAAATGCAGTGACATTATAGGGCTGGGCTCCACAAAGAACTAGTTTTATTCAGGACAGTGCTGTCATATGTGGTTGGTACCCTTTTGTACTTACTTCACAGAGTCGTAAATTATGTGGAATGCATGTGCAGTCTGAAAGAGTCTGTCAGGATTGAAAAAGCAGACACTGTTCTGGCCATGTTTCTGTAAAATGGACTTGGGCCAGCATGACTGGCAGTGCTGTAGTGTGCCTGTGTTGGGCATGAGTTGGTGCAGACCTGTGAGTACGTGTAATGTCTCAGAAATGTGGGGCTGGAAACCTAGATTTCTGATGCAACACTTCTGAGGAGAAGCAATTTCCTCTGCATAGCTTCTGTAATTAAGTTTATTAAGAATTCTGGCACCCTCACAAATGGTTGTATTGTATTACGAGGCACAGGGAAAGTGCTAGACAGAAGCCTGAAGATGTAGGAGGAATTGAGGCATGGGCAGCTAAGTCCAGAGGAGAGCCACAAAGATGATTAGAGGGATGAAACACCTCTTTTATGAAGACAGGTTGGGAGAGTTGGGGTTGTTCTACCTGGTAAAGGCTCCAGAGAGGCTTTAGAGCAGCCTTCCAGTACACCTAAAGGGGACTACAAGAGAGCTGGAGCAGTTTTTATAAGGGCATGTAATGATACAGCAAGGGGTAATTGCTTCAAAATTCCCTGAGAGAGGGCAGGTTTAGATTAGATATTAGAAATTCTTTACTGTGAGGGTAGTGAGGCACTGGCACAGGCTGCCTAGAGAAGCTGTGGATGCCTTTTATTTGGAAGTGTTCAAGGCCAGACTGGATGGAGCCCTGAGCAACCAGGTGTAGTGGAAGGTGTCCCTGCCCACAGCAAGGGAATTGGAGCTAAATGATCTTTAAGGTCCCTTTCAACCCAAACAATTCTGCTATTTTATGATTTAAGGGCATACTAAGATGAAGCTGTACAATTTTATTTCCAGTGCAGCTGACACTATTCCCAGGCCTGACTGCATGGTTTCTGCCCAGCCTTGTGCTCTTGCAGGGTGCCTGGCTGGTGGGCTCCTGAGCTCTCCTCGATGTGGGTATATTCCACCAGGTGCAGTGCAAGGCTGTGAGAACTCAGTGTGTGCTCCCTGAGGGTTTTTGACAGAGTTGGTGTAACCACCTGGGGTAACCACCATCTTCCAGAGGGGAATGAGTGCCAGTTCCACAACTGGGGTCGGTTCCAAGCACATGGACAGGCATTCCACTTTCAAACTCAGGTATGTCTGTTATGCTGTATTTATTTTGATAATCTGTGCATGCATTCTGTTGAGTATTGACAATTATGCATTTTTTCTCTTTGCCTCAGTTATTGGACAAAGATTTGCATGGCAGGTTGATAGATTTGGCATGAATGAAGAGAAGCTCTTAATTACAGTGATACAGTGACAGGCACTTCCGTGTACTGACCAAGAGCAAACATCCTTCCCAATGGCTGAGAACACCCAGAGGTCAGTCAGGAGGCAAATGAATCAGGTAGTGGTGTCTGCTTCTCAAGACTGTGACCCTCTACAAGACTGTTGTCTTGTGTATTCCTGAGTTGTTAACCAATTACTGATTATGATGATGTGCAGGGACTTCTCTGAGCATGTTTACACACAGACAAAATAGAACTTTTTTGCTGTGCTGGCTGAAATGCATAAATTGTGCCATTCCAAAGATGCCTTTTTAGGAGCAGCTAAATTCTTTCAAAACAACTTGCATATGGGAAAAATAATTTTAAAAAGTCAGTTTCAGATACTCTGTGTGTAACTATACATACTGAAGTTACAGTTTCTTTCATTCTTCTTGTCTTCCTTAATTTATGTTCACCTTTTCTGGGAGGGTGGAGATATGAAATTAGTAGTGTGATTTAGCAAGCCTTTGGGGACTGAGGGGTGGTGTCACAGATGAGTGACTAGAAGTATCTGGCAGTAGGAGGAGGGTGGAGGATTTCTCAGAGCAAGCGTTATAGTCTACAAAGGCTATGTACAGTGTGAGGGCAGTGCATGCTGCACTGCCATGATGTGCCTGGCTAATAAAAACAAGCCATCTCTCATCAGGGCTACGTAAATAGCAAAAGCCTCATTTGCACATTCCCTGTGGCACGGAACTGCTCAGCAGTCCTTCCCTCTGTGAGTGTAAAGACACAGTGCATGGACAAGGGCACCTGCCCCAGAACAACACACAGCACATGCACCTTTCCAAGCAAAAGCACACACGCACACACACACACATATGTAGTCTGTGCTGTAGGCTTGCCTCCTGAGAGGACAGGAAATTAGGGTTCTGTTGCAAGTCTGACTCAGTAGGAAATAGAAACAGAGCACATTATATATATTTTCTTTATTGCTGGACTTTTTTTCCCTGTAAGTAGGCATGATTTCTTAAAGGCTGAGGTTTTTAACAACAGTAAGGTTTTTCAGGTTTCTTTTTTTTTCTTTTTTTTTTTTTTGCTGTGGACAAAAAGACACCTTTGAACAAAGTTTTGCCTTATATTACAGTATTTCTGTACAAAAATAAAAGTCCAAAATCAAATTATTATTAGCCGATATTCCCCAATTTATTTACAGGGTACTGTCAAGAACCTTCATCAGGCAACCAGGTAAAATAGAGAACTCTGTATTAAAGCAGTTGCATTGTATAACGTTGCCTTCTCTAGTCAACTCTGAAGGGCTCTGGCCTTTGGCAGTCAGTCTGGGTTGAAGAGTCCAGCCAGAAGTATAAAACAGTGATGTCTTTTAAAGAAAAAAATTAATATTAAAAACTTAAGCGGACATTATGAAGAACTGAACTGATAACTGTATTTCCATATTAGGGTAGTCTATAAATATTCTCAGCTACATCTCTCTTTATCATACAGCAGATACAGAATGCAGACTTCTGCTACTTATATGGTAATACATATTTGCAAAAGTAAAATCAATGTATGAAAATTTTGGAATTTACTTGTTAATAAAACTGCTTATAAAGTAACCATACAATTGTAACAACTATAACTCTGAACTATTAAAATGTACAGAAAGACTGTTTACACCATTGCACATACTTATTCCCTTTGCTTCAAAAGACTTGTGAAATACAGAATAAAATTTGTCAAATTTTACTGACAGCTCAAATACGCATGCACAATGTGCACACCCACGGAAGCAAGGGGAAACAAAGTGTTGGCGTCCATCAGGAAAGCTGCCAGCAGCGCTCCAAAAAATATACCTTGCTCTTCTTCCCTCCCCCTTCCCACCTGTATACAGGCCAGTAGATTAGTGCAGAACGGATGAATATAACTTTGTTTTCAGTGTTCTGAAAGGACAAAGGAAATCCTCTTGACTTTTATCAGTAATTTTAGGTCAATAGAAGTTAGGCTTATATTGTAAGGCACTTATTACTGCTTGTATTGCAGTGGATCGAGTCTTAAGGCATTTGTTACATCAACTGAAGGTAATAATGCTTTGGAAAGTTTTGAATGAGTCAGCAGTTGTAGTATGTGACTATTTCAGCTGATTTTCCCCTGCCCTCCTGTGGTCTTTCTAAAACATTGAAGATATTTTCCGTTGAAACTCTGGTTCTTGGTTAGCTTGTCAACAAATGTGATCAATGTCCCAGGTCGTTCAGAGGCCAAGGAGTGATATATTCTATTTAGGGCGCAGTAGAACTGGTTTTGTTTTCACCTGGAGCTGCCCTGACTTCCATGACTACTCACGGATCGAGAGGTGCTGTAGCGTTTTTTCACGATCATACTGATGTAAGCTTTCATCAGCTTTGCAATGTCAACCACCTGCCAAGAATATGAAGAGCACAGTTCTTTAGGTAAGGTAACAGTATATTAATGAATTTCTTTGGCCACTAACAATATAAAACTGTCAAGCTTTCAACAAAACCCTTTTGCAGCTAAACACGTAAAAATACTCAGCACTTCTGTCCATGTCATTCTGTCTTTCCTTTAGCTTTACAGGGATCTTGAATAAATCTCTAATATTTGTAGCCATTACTTGAATTACTAAATGGCCTTGCTATCAGAACAGGAAGACCACAATAACAAAACTGCCTTGCTCTTACCTCGCTAGTTTCAAAAAGCAGTTCTCTTTCATCCACCACGATCTTGTAGGTGTTGGCAAGTGGAGCACCAAATGACAAGATATGTTCGTACTGGAACACCTCCAGAGGCCTGCCTTCCCCACGCTTGTAGACAGAAACTGCATCAGCGCTGACTCCAAGCCACAACTCCTGTGGGAATCCCCCTTCTTTGCACTGAAGAAAAAAATGTAAATTAACAGCAAGGGAAACAGTGGGAGCACACAACACTTACTGTTGATGTTTTTGTCTGTAACCATTTGTTAAAAAGTGCATATTGCTTGTCCCTCGTTAAATGTACCCTTTTATACTTATTTCTCTTTTATACTTGTTTGCAACCTGTCAGAATAGCATTCTGTCCCTCTATTTTATGGTTAAGTGGTGGATTTAAATAGCTACAGTGCTTGGCAATGGGAGTAGGCTTTTAATAGCTCAAAGTTTATTACATCAGCAGTCTGAGCATTGTGATACTGTATTTATGGTTTCACTGCTCTGGAATTAAACCATCACCTATACAGTGTAAGCTGTAGTTTGAGTGTTCATATGGTCTTACCTCTACGTCAAAGAGTGTTGAACCATAGCCAGGCCATTCCTTAATCAAAGCCATGTACTTTGCCATGGCCTGCTCCTGATTCATCCTCTGGAGTTTTTTCCATTTGTCAATAATACTAGTCCTGCAAGCTGAGATTTCCTCTTTGACCCACATGTCTAACATCTGATCCTCCTCAACCTTCTGTTTGCTGATAGAGCCACTGCGGAAACTCCTCCGCAGCGTTCCTTCAAGAAAGCTGGCTCGTTTCTTCTCAGCCTTCTCTGATACAGTAAATGTTTTGGTCGACTGTGTAATCCTAGACTTCAGCTTTTGCAAGGGATAGACTTCCTCCAGTTCTGGTATGGTGGTGTGCACAGTGTAATCTCCCTGAAGGTACTGAAGACGCAAAGCTGCAAGGACCTGGAGCGTTTCCTCAGGAGCAGGATAATGTCCTTTAATTACTGCTTCATGAGCCTATCAAAGGGAAAAAAGGTAGCTTGTTATAAAGCAGCCTTTGAAAGAAATATGAGAAACAAGGGGAGTTGATTTACTCCCAGGCAAACCCAGGACCTGAAATAAATGATCCATGAAATAAATCAAGTGGCGCAAATCTCTTGACAAATTTAAGCTGGATAAGACTGGGTTTACCAGAAGAACTTCAAGGCAACTGAGTAACCTGCTAAATAGGAATTACTTTTACTAGGACAGCTTTTAGTGAATTCTCATATCTAAGAGTAACTGAACTATGAAAAAGGAAAATAAAATGTTAAGGGGAGAAAACAGGATCTAAACAGATCTAAATCTGATTAAGGAGACGCCATCTGTGTTCAAGGGCATTAGGAAGAAATGGGTCTCCAGTTTTGTTTACTGCTATCAATAATCTGGCTGTGAAAGCTGATGGTTCCAGCCAAACAAGCCAAACTCTAGAACAGCTTTGTAATTTTACTGGAAACAGTACATCTTCAATGGATCTCAAATCACGTTAGTACAACATCTACATATTACAGTGCTCTCAAGAAGACTTTCAAAATCCAAACCTGTGAAAATGTGCAGCAGCTAGCTTTTTTTCTTTCATATGACAGTAGTAGAGAAAACAAACATGCATCACGTCTAGAGATCCAAGAATTGCAAGTTTAGTAAACACACAGACATAATTCACAGCTAAGTGACAACTAGTTTGTTTAGGTGTACAAAATGTGCCTTTAAACATGCAAAATGGTTTACCTAAGATTGTACACATGCAATCTCAGAGAATCTCAGAGAAAGAGCTGTCTTTTAAAAATGGAAAGAGATTATTTTAATGAGGAAGAAGAACTAAGAGATTTTCTTCAGTGTCTTATGATTATTAAAGGTTCAGACTTTAAAATAATGGAGACTGCAGAGTTAAAACTGATGACAAAAGGGAATTTTCGTAATTGTCTACAAAAAGTTGATGACTGACATCAAAAGCAGATAATTAGAAAAAATACAACAGAATTGATGTTAGAATTAATGTTACCTCTTCAAGGTATTGCTGTAATATTGCTGGTAGGGATAGAATGTCATGCTTTATAACAAATACTACTGGTTTTGGCAAGACATAAAGTATTTGGCTAAACCCTAGTCAGCACAGAAGGCTGCATGAAAACAATCTGCTTCAGCAAATGTGCTTGTTTTAGCTGTTCATAGAGAAAACTGCCTGAATCTGCCTCTTAAGCCAATAATGTAACGTAGCAGATTGGATACAGAGTTCTCATAGATTTTCTTCTTGCTGTTTTAACTTCATCCCAAACAGAGGCACCGGATTACTCCTCTGGAGGTAACAACAGACAGACAGATGTGTTTCTAAGCCCAGCCAAGGCAACCTATTGCCCAGATCCTTCAGCCAACAATAAACAGTTCAGAACTGAGCTACAGTAGTAGGCTCTGGAAGGAGACTTTTGGTAGACTTGTGGTGTAATATGGTGCCTTAAAACCTAAACTGAACAAGGAAGAAATACTGTATTACACGGAAGATGTAGAAAGGGAAAACTCTTCATATGTATGAAAACTGAAGTACATCAGTTCTTAATCACATCAGTCTTGCTCACCAACAGAATGTCACTGTCTTGGTGTTGCAAAGACACAGGAGTCTTAACCCTATACAGAAATCTTTATCTGTGTCTAGTGCCCACTGAAAGAAGGTGACTACTAGAAGAATTTTTAATCAGTTGCAATATAGTAAAAGAGGAGAAGATAAATCAACAGTAATAAATGCCATCAGTGAGTTTCTGAGTAACTACAGAGATTGATATAACAGAAATCCACCTGCCAATGCATTTAATTTTCATTAGAAATCAATTTAACTTATTTTATGTTTTGCAGTGTAGCCTCATTCTGGGCTTAGCATGTTCACTAAGTGGATTTCTCTTCATCATAGCTGTCTTACAGTTACTGCTGAGACTGGACTATTATACTGTGGTACCTATGAAATGATCAGTTTTTGAAAAGATAAAAGGCTATTGCTCAATTAGTTCTGTACAGTTGCCAGCAGGAATCTCTTATTTAATTTGTTGCCAGTTACACTTTTTTTCACTTTATTTCTTACAATTTCTTCAGAAAATGGTTTAAGAAGAGAAAGATTAAAAGCAAATATTATTCTTTTTTTAAGCAGCTTAGATCCAGTTATTCATTTTTCTACCACTATACAAAAAGCAATTGACAAATAATGCAGAAGTAAGAAACATAACACTAGAGAAATCATACAAGCTTCACTTATGCTAGGATAGGCCTATTTTGACCACTGAAACACTTCCTTTGCTCTTGATGTTTGAGTAGTAGTGCATTCAGTTAAACAGAAGCAAAATAATAACACTCTCTTCGCTACCTAGATCTCTTCATTTTCCCCTCCTCTTAAAACTGCCTCAAAACAGAACCTTTGTTCTTTACCTGCTCAAACATAAAGGCAAATTCCACGCTATCTTTTGGGACGTTTTCTGTGTCCAGGAAACAGTAGAGCTTGAAGTAGAACTTCCAGTGCATCTCCCCAGCTTCAGCAGTGGCAGCAAGCCTGTGTTAAGAGGGAGAGAGATCAGATCTGTGAAATCAAACTCCTTTCTAAATTGCCACCTGTGGAATCTAAGCAAGGCATCAGCTCAACTTTGCTTTATGTGTCTGTGTATTTAGAGCCTATAGCAAAATGAAGGACAGATGTTGACTCAGTTCTCAAGTCAACGGTTTCCAACCTATATTCTCTTAAGAAATGTTGATTTTTAGGTCAGGTGTTAATAAAAGCAACATAATTAAGTCCCGTTATAAAACTGCACAACACTTAAAACATTCCTTTTCCCCCGGTTTTTTATGTGGATAAAGGGGACTGATTGCCATGCATAGAAAGTAAGGATGACAAACAGGTATTTAGGCTTGTATTACATTTTCTTACTACAGTGCTACTATAAGTGGTTTCAATTTTACTGTTAAGAGAAATGTTGTGAACTGTACTGTAGTGACTTCCATGTGAAGTTAGGTAACAGTCAGAATGGCAGTGACTGCCCAGAGGTCATTTCTCACAGCCACACTGCCAGTAATGGTGGAAAAATTTGTAGAAAAAAAATTGAAAAATAAAATATGGAAATATGATGAGAACTATTACTCTACTGGTGTCAGGACAGAGGAAAACCAACACAAGTGGATAGGTGGCTATTAAGTCTTTTAAGAAAACTAAAAAAAGAGATACTTTTGTTCCAGAAATGACCATGTGTGTAATTCAGCTACATCATCATAAAGAAACAAGTCAGAGAGAACATTCAGCATTACCAACATTGGAAATTTATCTAATTACTACTTATTAGAGTGAAGAGAGGAGAGGTACACTCACTTTTCAAACTTTGCCAAGACATCAGCTACAATGGTTCTGCTTTCAATTGCTTTATCAGTAGTCCCGTTGTATTCAAACAAAGCAAACATATTTCTGCTATCCTCCATGGCCAAGCCACGAATTAACTTTTCAACCACCTAATGAAAAACAGCAGATGAAAAAAGCATAGCATGGAAAAACAATACTACAGAGTAAGACAGATACTTAGAAAAAATTAGAGCTAGGTTTTAGTTAGGCTTAAAATGTTATTAACTTGTCCTCATTGGCATTATTACTTGTTGTCAAATTCCACTATAATTTTTATTCTTTCAGAATATGTATGTGCTATCTCCTGGCCAGATATAACCCCCTGTATTCCAACTCAGCAAGAGTCTTCCAGTTTTAGGAAGAAGCTTGGCT